TGAAAATGATTTTGGAAATATCCAAAGGGATCAAAACATAAATGTTCATCAGCGCAGATTTACCCGTATGATTCTGCGTGAGTTTGATAGATATCCGACCACAAGTGTTAGGAGAGTTTCTGGTGCCTTGGGAATTTCAGCAAGCCATGTTCACCGTTTTCTTACAAATGACCATAGACATCCTTACCATTTGCAACCTGTGCAAAGACTACAGCCAGGGGACGGAGAACGAAGAATCACATTTTGTCTGTGGATTCTTGATAGAACTGATAATAATAGGGAGTTTTTAAGTAACGTTTTATGGACCGATGAGTCAGGCTTCACTAGACGTGGAGTGGTAAATTTTCATAATCAACATATTTAGTCGCATGAAAATCCGCATGCAGTTCGGGAAAGAAATTTTCAGCATGAATTTAGTGTGAACGTGTGGATTGGTATCTACCGTAATCGACTATTTGGACCCTACCTTTTGCTTGCAAGGTTAAATGCTGCGACCTTCTTGGAATTTTTAAAGGCTGAACATGTAAATATGTGGAATGATGTTGTGTTAGATTTAAGAAGATTGGCCTGGTTCCAGCTTGATGGTTGTCCAGCTAATTATTCGAGAATAGTTAGAAACTGACGAAAATTATCCAGAAAGATGGATCGGCCGTGGAGAACCAGTCGCCTGGCCTCCACGATCCCCTGACCTAAATCCATTAGATTTCTTTGTGTGGGGATTTCTAAAAGAAAAAGTGTACCAGACTTCCGTAACCACAAGAGATATGCTAATAGACAGAATCAGAAATGCATGTGATGAAATAAGGCCTTATTTGAATAATGCTATACCACGTTCGATCATTCGTAGATGTGTATTGTGTATTGAACAATTGGGTTTACATTTCGAGCAACTACTTTAGATTTTGTATGTTTGTCCTAACTATCCAATAGCATTTTAGTTGTAAATAATTAATTTAATTTGTTAAAAATAATATTGGAAAATTAAACAAATTAATATTCTGTTTCTTGTGTTTATTTGGAGTTAGGAATTATTGCTGTGTTTAAAAACACAATCTAAACGATCATCTTAATTACTTGTAAAGCCCAAATCGAAAATGTAAAAAAATATTGTTTTCCCATAAATAATTAAAAAATGCATCGAACCTTAAAAATCGAAATATCTCAAAAACGGATAACTATAACGAAAACTCACAGGAGAGATTTCTTATGTTGAATAGTGCGAAGAATCAGTTTTTTTATTCAAAAAGCAAAAAATTGCACTAAGAAAATTTTGTCGGTCATTTTAATACACTACAGGTACAGTAGAGAGCGCCCTCTAGCGGCTGCAGTAAAACTATGCCCATGGTTCGTTTTGTCGCACCAAAAAACCCATGTGTACCAATTTTCACTGTTATACATCAAATATTGTCAGGAATATTTAAAAAAAACTATTTTAGAAAGTAAATTTAAACACCCTGTATTTCGAAAGCCACGCATTTTTCGACCCATGTTTATATAGACTTCATGCATTAATTTTAAAAGTTCTATCGAATCTTAAAGTTATGCAACAATAAACTGAAACACCCTGTATATGGCAGCACAAACAAGAGATTCACTCAAATAATAATGATATAATAATATCTGTTAAAGATAAACAAAATAATAATTAGTATTTCTATTAGTATAAAAAACTGTATTCGTGTTGCAGGTGACTAGTTTTGTAAAATATTGTTAGCGGCTCTTTTTTTAACCTTTATTTATATAAATTATAGCCATTTTATAGGCTCCCCTGTATCAGAAGTTCTTATAGACAAAACTCTCAACTCTTCAGACATTTTTTGTCAACGGATACAGCCCCTCTTTAGTTTTTGATACTTGCACTACCTCTACATGCGTGACCGTAACCGTCGATTGAAGGTTGCATACTGACCTGACACACTGACCTCGACCCAGTTCTGCCGTCGGGTTGAGACCTTGTACCAAATCGGTGATGTCCCGGGTCGCGGCTACAGGACGGTATTCAGATATTTTTGATGTTGCAGAGCCCTTTATCTCGGTTCCCTTAAGGCATTGGTGTATATGGTATTAAGAAAAATTGCTTATGTTTTCAAGATCTACACGTCGTGTAAAGGAAAACCCCAACTTTGCGGACACCCTGTATAACCTGAGAGTCGTAAATTTGAAAAACCCTAGAAACACAAGAACTTACTTCAAATGCCCCACTTTTTCTCTCCACTTCATTCCAAAGGAAATAGTGGCATTCCATTGAAGAAATATCGTGCACCGTCCAATTATATTTTCCGCACTTCCATTTGACCGGGGACTTGTTCTAGATCAAAACTTGCACATGCAATTCCATTATTATTATTATTATTATTATTATTATTATTATTATTATTATTATTATTATTATTATTATTGTTCTTATTATTCAGAGCTTGAACTCTATGGAACTTTTTATTTCACTTACTTTGTTTTTCTCGTGGTAATACTTTTGATACCTGCCCTTTAGTCTTTATTTCTGATCTTTCTCACCTTGTATGTAGGAATTGCACAGCGAGCACTGATCTTTCTTCGGTCGGTGAAATACAAGTTTGAATGACCTAAATACTTTACGGTATAGGTCAATCGAAGGTTTGTCATCAGTGTGATTTAATTCTCCTATAAACATAGCATATATCTTAGAAACAGCCAATTCTGGATGAAGATATTCCATGGTTGCACTTGGTCGGCAATAGTGGGACTCAATTTTCGGGAGCCTCAGGATGTGTTTGTGAATTGCACCTCGAAGTGAATTGTCTCTCCTAAGATCTGCCATTTATTTTTTCTCCTTCAATGAGTCCACTTGAATTTAATTTTTCTAAGTTGTCCATTAACGAGATCCTAACTTGTGCACAAATAGAGTTTTACATACTAAATACTGCTCGCCTTAGGTTGTAAGGTGATATTTGCGGATGTTTTGCATTCCAGACTTTTATTTTTTGTATTTTTTTTAACTGTGACCGCTATCTTACTAAGATAACACTGTAAAATGATATGTATATTTTATAATTTCACAACTTGACGGAACTTGAATTAAGCTCCCTCGTGAAATTTAATTTCCTATTAAGTTGAGATAAGTCTAATATTATTTTTCTATAACTCTGAATGTATTAGTAACTGACTTATGCCTCTTATCGTGCCTGTAAGCCTGGAATCCAAGAACAGATTGCTGATCTCGCTAACAAAGAACAAATCTCACAAATTAAAAAAAGCTGCCGATTAATAAACGAAAGCAAATAGCAGCAAATAACCCCTGCGCTACATCGCCTTTTCGAGAGATTACTGCTTCGATAGTCTTGACATAGTATCAACCAATGTTTAGAAATCACCTGGGGTAAAACTAATCCAAATTTCTGGAAGACGGGCTCGCAGATCTAGAACGGTTCTTGCGGGATTCGATCGGAGCTTTTTCTACATATGATATGCCCAAGGTTTCAATCGACGATACATCTTTACAACTCGACAACTGGCATATTCTTACATCCAATCTTTTACTTTTTTAGCCGTATTGCAATCGGCACCATCTTGCTGGAAGATACATTCGATATTGTTTAAACGCATTTGTTCAACTTGGGGATTAAGTTATTTTGGCACATTCATGTACTTATTAGCATTCATAATACCTTCCACAAAGAATAAGTTTCCCCACTCCACTTGTATGGTATATCAATTATAACATAAGCCAAAAACTTAACTTTCTTCAAGACAGTCATCCTGAAACACTTCAAATCTGGCTTCATCACTCCAATTAATGGAGTTGTTTTGGTTCCGAGACCGTTCCCCCTTTCCCCTATAGCTCCAAGGTACCCAATGGGTGTTTAGGCCTTCGTGGTAGTTGGAGTATAAAAAAAATCGTGTTTTTTGGCTCACGCTAGTCTGTTTTTCTCCTGAGTCTTTATCAGTAAGGGCCTAGAAATAGTGAGTTAAAAACGAATGATAAAAAACTAATTTAAGACTACCTTGTAAGTTTTAACTCCCAGGTTTCGGGCCGCTCTGTGACAAGTTGCTCTTGAAAAATTTTTTGTGGTTGCTGATTCCATAATGTTTTCAATTTGTTATAATTAGCACGCCGGCTTTCCGTGATAATCCGCTTTAAGGCTCTTGAGTTGGTATTGGAATAACGCGGTCGACTTCCAGTTCTGTCTCATTTCGATAAAGTCTAACACATTGATTCCCAAAGTGGTCTTAGGGGTCTATGACAACCTGCAAGGTGTCCACGTCAGCGAAAAAAAAATTGAGGCTCCATGAAATGAATATGGGGGTCCACGATAGTGGATCTCAATACATACACTGATAGTACCTATTTAGTTACATCATACTACCTTATAATATCAAAACATATACATTATTTATAAAAGTACCTATGAAGTAAAAAATGTATTATATATGTTTATAAATTGTGTAAGTTGTAGGATGTTGGTATTCGCTTTGTGGTCGCAATACATTTTGAATTTGTAAAAACCTGAGAGTCGCAGTCTCAGAGCTTCGCTACCTTGCACTGACTTGTTCAATTCGTCACTCTATAAATACGAATGTGGGACAAATACGTTTATTCTTTTCCTGAATCTTGAAAAAAAAAGTGCTAAGAAAATATTTTAAAAAATATAATTTACGAGTACTCCTCAATAGTTTCTTTTTGAAAGTTTTAGCAATCGGTAATATAATTACAGTGCAATCTCCGTAACTCGAGCTAATTGTTGCAAGATGTTCGAATTATGGAATGTTTTCGGGAAATCAAAAAATATTTTTAATATACAGCTGCTGGATTTTCTGTCTTATTTAAATAATTTAATTTTGCCCACACATGACTGATGCCATGTCCGAATCTAAAAAGAAATGTAGACAGTACAGTGTTGATTATTTGAAATTTGGCTTCATTCCATCATTGCCGGACAAACAATCGCCTATGTACCTTTTATGCAACAAAGTTTTGGCCATTGACGCTATGAAATTATCTAAACTGAGAGATCATCTGAGAAGATGCCACCCTGATAAAACAGAGAAAGATTTGAAATACTTTCAAACACTCAAAGATAAATTTCAGAAGTGACCTACACTGGACAGAATGTTCGCTTCGACGTCACAAAGAAATGATGATGGTTTGCGGGCGTCTTACAATATCTCTATAGCAAAGTCCGGAAAACCGCATACTATCGGAGAGAAGTTAATTTTTCCAGCCATTGAAGAGGTTTTAAAAACTGTTTTACACAAACCTGCATCTGATATCATTAAAAGAATTCCCTTAAGCAACAATACTGTTGAAAGACGTATTGATGAAATTAGTTCTGATATTGAAAGCTTCTTATGTAATTATTTACAAACGACCCATTTCTCTATACAACTGGACGAGTCAACTTTACCTGATAATGCAGCATTATTATTGGCATATGTTCGTTTTATTATGAATCAAGAAATCTACGAAGAACTGCTCTTCGCAAGAACTTTGATAACCGACACTAAAGGTGAATCAATATTTCATGTTTTGAAGGATTACTTCATTGAAAAAGCAATTCCTTTATCAAATATAATAGCTACAGATGGAGCACCTGCCATGGTTGGATGTTATCGTGGATTTATAAACTATTTAAAACAAAATGTGTCAGGGGTGTTAGCAATACATTGCGTCATCCATCGACAACATTTAGTTGCTAAAAATTTGAGTGTTAGATTGCATGAATCACTTCATTTAGTCATTGATGCAGTAAACCGAACCAGAAGCAACGCGTTGAATACGCGGTTATTTGCGCAGTTGTGTGAAGAAAATGACGAACACTTTCATCAATTATTCCTTCACACTGAAGTACGCTGGCTGTCGAAAGGCTTATGTTTGACAAGATTTTTTGCACCTTTTGGGACTATTTTAGAATTTCTGGATACCAAAGATAAAATTTTAAAAGAAAATTTAATGAAGAGGAAAACAGGCATCGCCTATTTTAACAGATTTGTTTACAAAATTTGATTAAAACAAAGTCCATCTTATCAGCGTTTCTTGCCAGAGTTAAACTAATGAAGCAAAATATTGGACGGGGGGAATTTTCTCAGTTCCCCAATTTGTCACAGACAAGCTGCCAGGAAGACTTACGTTCAACATTTAAATGCCCTCTATTCAGATTTTGAATCTAGGCTTGAGGATATTTTGACTATGGTAATACCACCATGGATAATTAATCCATATGGTGACATAGAAGAAACAAATGTCATAATACAAGAGGAACTGACTGAAATAAGTACCAACGGAGAACTTAAGGTTCAGTTTAAAAAGGGATATCAGCAATTCTGGCTGCAAAACAACATACCCGTTACTTATCCCGTATTATGGAATATAGCGAGGAAATTTTTAATTTCCTTTCCATCGTCATACCTAGTGGAAAGGGGGTTCAGCGCTGTTACCAATCTGCAACGAAAAAAATTGCCGCCAAATGTTGATAATTTATTATTAACGCATCAGGTTCATCCTTCTCACTAAAAATATTGACTTATTGCTTATGTTATTTCATTTATAGTTTATTTTATGTTTATTGGTGTCTGACCAATAAATGCCCGCATTGGGAATAAGTGCCCGCATTGATTTTTTTAAAGGACCCCCCTTTATAGAAAATATATATTTTTTTAAATTACTCTGAAAATTCAAGGAATTTTTTGCCTATTTTTAGATAACTTAAACGTACAAGAAGCGGAATTTAATCAAACTCACAGTGAAATTATTGTAGAACATACGTTTATGTTATAATTAATAAACGAACTCGCTTATTCTACTATTTTAAGTCAAAAACTTTTTTTTTATTATTTTTCACTTTTTTTTCATTTTATCCCTCTTATTTTTTTTTCAATGCGGGCACTTATTCCCAATGCGGGCACTTATTGGTCAGACACCTGTTTATTTAATGTTAGGTATATTTAACATAACAGATACAAAATTTTATTTTGAGTAGTTTTAATTTAAACTCAATTAATAAATGTATAAATTAACATGTGTTTTTACTTCAAGTTTTTAACACTAAACTAAACACATTTACAGGAAATCAATATCAGGTAAGTAGGTGTCTACCCAACACGGAAAAACATGGCAAGGCGTCTACGACACAAAAAAGTTTGGGGAACTCTGGTCTAACATAATCCTTGACGAAATAATGACCTCGTTGTCTCAGCCTACTAGACGCGATTTCTTAAAACGGGATAATAGCATTTTCTGTTCGTTCACTATTATTGATCATCCACCATTTGTTGGAAAAGTAAAATTTTCAAAACCACTTGACGGGTGGTCGTTTAGTAGAAACGTGGGAGTGATGTAAAAATAATTCGCACTTCTGTTTTATGCTGGTCGTGTCTGCGAATGACATCCCGTTAAATCGTCATGAAAGAAAGCGCCACGCCTGATGCAGCTGCGGTAATGAGGCAGTTTAAATCTTGACATGGATAACATTTAATTATATTTAACGCGTTGGCAATGTAAAATTTCACGTTCAGGCTTATACGGGTCTGCAAAAGCATATCAGACCAGAAACACCAATCTTTTAGGTATACAAAATCACATTACATCACATTTTAAGCAGTCGCCATATTATAATTGTGTGATCTTATTTAATAAACTACCTATTTACGTGAGAAAAATAATGCATTATAATTAATTCAAGGACAGTGTGAAAGTGAAATATTAAAAAGTGGATGATCTGTGGTTTACACAGAATCGAGAATATGGAATGCCAATTTCCGGAACAAGTCTAAAGCAAAAGGCAGTCAACTTAAGTGAAGAATTGCCAGTTATCGAGGCGCCAGTGATGGTTGTATAGACGGAAAAAACCACACAGTATACTAGAATTAAAAGTTATCTACCGATAAGTCCGTTGCATTAAAATTTGGAGGACATTTTAAAGAATTAATGAAGCAGTATGGTTTAAGTCCAGAACAAATTTACAACTGCGACGAAACGGGCCTAAACTACGAAATGTTACCGACGAAAAGTGTAGCTTCAAAAGAAGAATCTGCAGCTCCTGGTTACAAACGCAGTAAAGAACGTGTTGTTGTTAATCGGAAAATCAGCTAAACCAAAGCAGTCACCCAGGAAAACGTCGATGCTGTGCGCAAACTCATAATTGAAGATAGACATGTGACATATCGCGAGATTGAGGCGTCCTTGAAGATCTCAAAGACGTCAATTCAAAAAATTTTACATGAAGAATTAGGAGTAAGAAAATTAGTTTTTCGTTGGATACCCCACCTGTTCTGAAGAGCAGAAAGCAGCCAGGGTTAATTGGTGTCAACAAATGCTTGACCATTTCAATTCGGAATCTCAAAAAATGTGTACAGCATTGTTGGTGGTGATGAATCGTAGATTTACTGTTATGAACCAGAAACTAAACGACAGTCGGCTGTTTGGGTGTTCCAAGGTGAAGAAAAGCCAACAAAAGTCATCCGATAACCTACTCGATGTTGCGTATGCGCTCGTCCGAATAATCGTATACGGGTTACTGTCCTTCCACGATGGTACCGTGGTAAGTGCCCACGAGACGGCGTGATGCAATTGCTAAGTGATTGGAAATTTCTTACCAGTTGTTTCACTTTAATGCCGCCAGATGATGCATCGGCTATAAAGGTCTTTACGGTTGGTCATGTAATATAATGGATATGATTGAAAAAATGAGGTCAAGTAGGTTCACTCTTGACAAATGGACTTTGTAGATGCATCATGTATTACTTAGGAGTTACATAAAAAAGTTCAGCTGTTAGAAGCGAAAATGCAACTACTCGTAACTTTGGCGTTAAATACTTCGTGACCTGGTGGCTCTACGGTGAAATTTTATGAAAGCAAACTGATGGATTGACAAAATCATGGAACGTTAAGTGAAGCTACTATCGAAAACGTGAACGAATTCAAGAATGTTCTCGGAACCATTCCGTCTAACTTAACTGATAAGAATACAAAACATCGTTTCAGGGTAGACCCTTCCTCGTCCTTTTGAACCCAGGCAGCACTCCGAGAATAGTCTCTACAAGAGGAACTTGCTTAAACGCAAACGGAGAACTTATTCACGGTTAAAAGTTTTTATAACAAAGATAGTTGAGAAAAGTTCCTGGATATTGTGTTAAGCTTCCTATAAATGCGTATTTTCCATTTCAAAAATTCAAATTAAATTATTTTACAAACTGTTTTCTCAATGTCATTTTTTCAAATTCGTTTAGTGTGCGAGAAGGGTTGAACGTAATTTCAGAGAAGAGGCTGCGCCTGCGCTCTTACCCACGGCCCAATATTGTCAAATTGATTTTTTACACTAGATAGCGTTTTATTGATGTGACACCGTTTTTTTAATTCTCTCAAAAATTTCAAATATACTTTTTCAATATTGCTTGTAGAGAGCGTAAAAATCTTATAGAATGTCGAAAACCGCAGCTCAATATCTTTATTCGCTCAATATCGATATATATATATATATACAGGGTGTCCGCAAAGTTGAGGTTTTCCTTTTCAGAAACAACTACCCATGAAATAACAAAGGTAATGTGTAGTGAAACGAGGGCGACCAAGTAAAAAAAAATAAAGGAAACAGTACTCACTCTCCAGTTGACGAGAAGGGCTAAGTACGTCTCTGCCCGAAATCATACCGCTCCAACAGAAAATGAAATCAGCTGATGCGCTACCGAGCAGACGCAGGCGGTGGTGCAGACCACGAACAGAGGTAACAAATATGGCGGCGTTGCCGCGTTTTCAGTTTTTAGCTAAACTTTATAGGTATTGTTCGAAGTTATCGCCGTTTGATTCAAAAACACAGGTGTGTGCACGAGATAGCCAAGCATCGGTGCAGGCTTTGAGAATGGAGTCCCTCCGCTGAATGAAAGCACCAGCTTGTTCAATTCTGAGACGAAGTTCGTCAACCGTATACACTTCAGTTTTGTACACTAAGCGTTTCATTTCTCCCCAAAGAAAAAAATCACATGGTGTTAAATCTGGAGATCGCGGAGGGCACGCTACGGGTCCATTACGTCCGATCCACCTATTCGGAAATAATTCATTGAAAAACTCCCGCACTTCGCGTCTAAAATGGGGCGGTGCACCATCGTGCAGAAACCAAATGGATTGTCTTACACTTCATGGCACATCTTCTAACAAGGAAGGCAAAATGTTGCGTAAAAAGTCTAGGTATTGCATCCCGTCCAATCGATTTGGGAGAATAAATGGTCCAATGAACATACCGTTCACCATGCCAGCCCAAACATTCACCGAAAATGTTTGTTGAAAATGTGCCCGACGGACAGCGTGCGGATTTTCTACTGACCAAACATGAGTGTTGCGAAAGTTATTGACCCCATTACGCGTGAACGTAGATTCGTCTGTCACCAATATGCACTTCAAAAAGTCCGGATTGTTGTCATGTTGATACAACAACCACTCACAAAACCGCACTCTTGCTGGAAAATCGTCAGGTTGAAGGGCTTGTACACGTTGGACGTGAAACGGATACAGCCCCTCTTCACGCAGCGTTTGCCACACTTTAGTTTTTGATACTTGCACTTATCTAGCCACGTCTCTAGTGCTTGTTGAGGGATTCTCGTCTACGCGATTACCTCTACACGCGTGACCGTAACCGTCGGTTGAAGGTTGCATACTGACCTGACACACTGACCCCGAACCAGTTCTGTCGTCGGGTTGAGCCAGTGACCTTGTACCACTCGGTGATGTCGCGGGTCGCGGCTACAGGACGGTATTCAGATATTTTTGATGTTGCAGAGCCCTTTATCTCGGTTCCTTTAAGACATTGGTGTATATGGTACTAAGAAAAATTGCTTATGTTTTCAAGATTTACACGTCGTGTAAAGAAAAACCCCAACTTTGCGGACACCCTGTATATGAAGAGAAAATGACCATGTGGAGAAAGGTATATAACAAACAATAGGAAAATAATGGGCCAAATCCGTCAAAAGGAGTAAAGTGGATTCGAGCAGAAAATAGGATAGGTAACCCGAGTGATAAGTATTTCTGCTGGTTGGCTTTATCAGGCCCGAGATGAATGCGGATATGCAACTACAAAAGCAGATACACATGCCCACACATCCGGACACGGGTTTAACCTGAGGAAACGAAGATGGAGAGAGAAAAAGTCGACAGACGAAGTCCACAACAAGAGCCAACCTATATATATATATATATATATAACTTGAGACGTGGTCATTGTCGTCTAGACCAGTTAGGTGAAAAATTGAAGCTTCCGCCTTTTGTTGGGTACTTCGACAAAATTTAAGCAAAAAAGGACTCTTTATACTTTTTTAATTCTCTCTAGCTTTCAATGGACTTTGCCATCACCATCAGGAGAGTAGTATGTGAGGATGTTGCTAATTGTTGTTTACGTATAGGATGAGGGAAACGTCCAGTAACATGGTGAGAGCTGGATAGATGGTACAATGGTCAAAACTATATAAAATATGACAAGAACAAGTTAAAAACAGATTAAAAATTATTTAAAAAAGAAGAAAGCTTCTCCAGCTAAGACAAAGAAAAGTAGGAAATCGGCGACGTCGGCTAAAGCTTTTTCTGCTGCACCTTCTGCAGCGCCTGCAAAAAAATCTCCTTCGAAGGCGAAGAAATCCAGCAAGGGAGCTCCGATCAAGAAGCCAAAAGCACCAAAACCGAAAACGGCGAAGGCTGCAACATCGCCAAAAAGGAAGGCCGCTTCTCCCAAAAAGAAGAAATAAAAAAAAAAATTAGACATGTTGCAACGTCGTAGATTACGACTACGTCGGTTCGCGACGTTATATTTATGCGAAAGGATGCTATACGTCCCCGCGGATTGAATCTGTTTTTAGCTTGTTCTTGTCATATTTTATATAATTTTGACCATTGTACCATCTATCCAGCTCTCACCATGTTACTGGATGTTTCCCTCATCCTATACGTAAACAACAATTAGCAACATCCTCACATACTACTTTCCTGATGATGATGGCAAAGTCCATTGAAAGCTAGAGAGAATTAAAAAAGTATAAAGAGTCCTCTTTGCTTAAATTTTGTCGAAGTACCCAACAAAAGGCGGAAGCTTTAATTTTTCACCTATATATATATATATATATATAAGATGTAAAATACGCTTAAATTACAATTTTCAAGTACTACTGGATACAAACAAAAATTCAAGCTATTAATAGTTGTGTAAAATATATCAATACGAAAGAAACATAAGAGACAGATTTTCGTTATTGTAGATACCTTAAAAGAAACAATTCAAATTGGGATCACAGTATTCCAACATGCCTTGCTTGTGCGTAGAAGTAAATTGTTGCATTTCATAATTACACATTAATAAAATTTGGCATTGAGTATTTATTCATTCTTTATGAGTTATTTATGCAGAAAGTATTGATTTTTCAGTTACAGACAAGTTATTCCCTTGATGCATTTTCTAGTTTTTGGATCTGATATGACATGTACATCACAAAAAACCATACCACTCATCCTCCTCGATCTACTTGTCACTCTGTCGGTTTGTCCGCCTATAACTTGAGAAGTACCGCTCAGCTTTAGATGAGATTCTCATACAAGGTTACTAGTAGTTTTTGAAAATTAAATGATAAAAGTTCGATGTATAGTGTGCTCAAGTGGTCTGCGGTGGTGTCGCCACTGACACGCCGCTACAGGAGAAACATTTATATACTTTAGCAATATTTGGTTATTAGGAGTGCGTACCGCTTTAGCGTTCTGCGATGCTTTTGTTAATGATGACTTACGATGTGTCCCTAAATAAGAATCGAAAATAGATATAAAAAACCTCAGCTAGAATCAACTTTGAATAATACGCTCTCATTTGATCCACCCACGTATTTTCTTGGATCGTAAAATCTCGCACACCCGGAAGAAAATCATCAAATGGATTCTTCAGACCGTTTCTGTTTGAAACGTCTTGTCTGAAAAAAAGACAGTCAAAGCTTATATCAGCAAACTCTCACGATTCACATGGTACGTTCGATTTCAGCATTGCCACCGCTGCACTGTCCTGGTAGCTGCTTTGATTACGACCACCTTGAACCCGGATTACGTGCGGCTTGAATAATAAATATCACAGCCGGTTGTGAAAGGAATCGTACGTCACTCCATTTATCAACTGTTCTCTGGTGCTTTGTTCGAAGTTCCCACTGCGATATTTTTCCACGCAAGGCGCTATTAATGCTTTCTTTTCTTTTGCACGTTTCGTACAACTTCCGTAAGTGGAGAATTAAAAAAAAATCCGTCAAGAAGATTGGATCTACAATTTCTATACCTGCGTTGAAGATTTCAAAGAAAATTGATGCGTCAAATCGTTTCAAAAGGTGAATTTGAATCGTGATTAGGTAGGTTCACCTAGCTAGGATGAATGTTCGACCTGTGCATGTCAAACCATATAAAGCATTGATTCCCAAAGTGGCCTATATCGACCCCTAGGGGTCCATGACAACCTGCAAGGGATCTACGTCAGCGAAAAAAAATTTGGGGGTCCATGAAATGAATATGGGGGTCCACGATAGTGGATCTCAACGCATACACTGATAGTACCTATTTACTTACATCATACTATCTTATAATATCAAAACATATACATTATTTATAAAAGTACCTATGAAGTAAAAAAAATATTATATATGTTTATAAAATTGTGTAAGTTGTAGGGTGTTGGTATTCGCTTTGTGGCCGCAATACATTTTGAACTTGTAAAAACCTGAGAGTCGCAGTCTCAGAGCTTCGCTATTTTGCACTGACTTGTTCAATTCGTCGCTCTATAAATACGAATGTGGGACAAATACGTTTATTCGTTTACTGAATCTTGAAAAGGAAAGTGCTAAGAAAATATTTTAAAAAATATAAACAGATAGTATATCACACAAATTATAGTGAGTCAGTGTTATTTTGTTTGAGAGTGCTGGAGAAAAGTAAGTACATTATTTTTTATTAAATTTTAGTTTTGTACTCGTAGTTAGCAAAGATAGATAAATTACGCCAATTATGACTTTAGTTATTAGTAGTTAAATATTCAATCATGCAAAATTACACGAGTACTCCTCAATAGTTTCTTTTTGAAAGTTTTAGCAATCGGTAATATAATTACAGTGCAATCTCCGTAATTCGAGCTAATTGTTGCAAGAAGATGTTCGAATTATGGAATGTTTTCGGAAAAATCAAAAAATATTTTTAATATACAGCTGCTGGATTTTCTGTCTTATTTAGATATTTAATTTTGCGAACAGATGACTGATGCCATGTCCGAATTTTAAAAGAAATGTAGACAGTTCAGTGTTGATTATTTGAAATTTAGCTTCATTCCATCATTGCCGGACAAACAATCGCCTATGTGCCTTTTATGCAACAAAGTTTTGGGCAATGACGCTATGAAACCATCTAAACTCCAAGATCATCTGAGAAGATGCCATCCTGATAAAACAGAGAAAGATTTGAAATACTTTCAAACACTCAAAGATAAATTTCAGAAGAGACCTACACTGGACAGAATGTTCGCTTCGACATCACAAAGAAATGATGATGGTTTGCGGGCGTCTTACAATACCTCGTTACTTATAGCAAAATCCGGAAAACCGCATACTATCGGAGAGAAGTTAATTTTGCCAGCCGTTGAAGAGGTTTTAAAAACTGTTTTACACAAACCTGCATCTGATATCATTAAAAGAACGACCCATTTCTCTATACAACTGGAGGAGTCAACTTTACCTGATAATGCAGCATTATTATTGGCATATGTTCGTTTTATTATGAATGAAGAAATCTACGAAGAACTTTGATAACCGACACTAAAGGTGAATCAATATTTCATGTTTTGAAGGATTACTTTATTGAAAAAGCAATTCCTTTATCAAATATAATATCAGTAGCTACAGATGGAGCACCTGCCATGGTTGGACGTTATCGCGGATTTATAAGCTATTTAAAACAAAATGTGTCAGGGGTGTTAGCAATACATTGCGTCATCCATCGACAACATTTAGTTGCTAAAAATTTGAGTGTTAGATTGCATGAATCACTTCATTTAGTCATTGATGCAGTAAACCGAATCCGAAGCAACGCGTTGAATACGCGGTTATTTACGCAGTTGTGTGAAGAAAATGACGAACACTTTCATCAATTACTCCTTCACACTGAAGTACGCTGGCTGTCGAAAGGCTTATGTTTGACAAGATTTTTTGCACTTTTTGAGACTATTTTTGAGTTTCTGGAATACTAAAGATACAATTTTAAAAGAGAATTTAATGAAGAGGAAAACAGACATCGCCTATTTAACAGATTTGTTTACAAAATTTAATATGGTTAATTTGCAATTACAAGGCGACAGTTTAAATTTGATTAAAACAAAGTCCATCTTATCAGCGTTTCTTGCCAGAGTTAAACTATTGAAGCAAAATATTGGACGGCGCGAATTTTCTCAGTTCCCCAATTTGAAACAGACAAGCTGCCAGGAAGACGACGTTTCAACTTACGTTCAACATTTAAATGCCCTCTATTCAGATTTTGAATCTAGGTTTGAGGATATTTTGACTATGGTAATACCACCGTGGATAATTAATCGATATGGTGACATAGAAGAAACGAATGTCATAATACAAGAGGAACTGACTGAACTAAGTACAAACGAAGAACTTAAGGTTCAGTTTAAAAACGGATATCAGCAGTTTTTAACACTACAGTTAGAAATTTACAGGAAATCAATATCAGGTAAGTAGGGGGTCTACCCAACACGGAAAAACATGGCAAGGGGTCTACGACACAAAAAAGTTTGAGGAACTCTGATATAAAGCAATATCTATCATATGGAAAATGTTGTTTTGCCAACTCAATGCAGAAGCTGCAAGAGAATCGATTTTGCCTCTTATTTCAGCGGGTAGTTTGGCAGAAAAATACATAGGTATTGTCACAACGCCGCCATATTGAGTTTTACGTAAATGCGATTTACGCCGCCATTTTGAAAAAGAATGACAACTTGTGATACATCGTTGGAAAGAAAATTTTAAGCTTTATGAAAATATGTAAAAATATATACAGTGTCTTATTTAAAATCCTTGTTTCACTTCCGGTCAAACCTGAAGCGATATTCAGTTGTTGTTTAATGGATAATAAGAGTTTTTATATGTCATATCTTCACAATTTCAAGGTTCTTCTTTAAACAGCAATTGAATATTGCCTTGTAAAACGATTTCGTTGGCATCCGGTATGTTACATATTCATAGTTCTATATTCTTTTATATTACATACCTAGAATGTATTTTATATAGTCCTTTAATTGAACCAAATAAAAATTTACATATTTATTTTTATGGGTCTCCGGTTATAAAGTACCCATTTTTTTCTTCCTAGACGGAACTGGAGTTCACTATATCTAAATTTCGAAATTTTTGGCAATTACAATACTTTCTCAACAGTTTCGGCATACGAAGTAAGAATAGACGCACTGCATTTTTTTGCCCTGGCACGACCCATATTCCCGTCCCATTCATCATAAGCTTTCACCAAAGAATTTGTCTGCTTGCAATTTCCCTATACAAGGTGTTTCAGTTTATTGTTGCATAGCTTTAAGATTCGATAGAACTTTCAAAATTAATGCATAAAGTCTATATAAACATGGGTTGAAAAATGCGTGGCTTCCGAAATACAGGGTGTTTAAATTTACTTTTTAAAATAGTTTTTTTTAAATATTTCGAATAATATTTGATGTATAATAGTGAAAATTGGTATACAAGGTTTTTTTGGTACGACAAAACGATCCATGGGCATAGTTTTACTGTAGCCGCTAGAGGGCGCTCTCTACTGTACCTGTAGTGTATTAAAATGACCGAAACTTTTTTCTTAGTGCAATCTTTTGCTTTTTGAATAAAAAACTGATTCTTCGCACTTTTCTGCATAAAAAAGCTCTCCTGTGAGTTTTCGTTATAGTTAGCCGTTTTTGAGATATTTCGATTTTTAAGGTTCGATGCATTTTTAATTATTTATGGGAAAATAATATTTTTTTTACATTTTCGATTTGGGCATTACAAGTAATTCAGATGATCGTTTAGATTGTGTTTTTAAGCACAGCAATAATTCCTAACTCCAAATAAACACAAAAAACAGAATATTAATTTGTTTAATTTTCCAATATTATTTTTAACAAATCAAATTAATTATTTACAACTAAAATGCTATTGGATAGTTAGGACAAACATACAAAATCTAGAGTAGTTGCTCGAAATGTAAACCCAATTGTTCAATACACAATTCACATCTACGAATGATCGAACGTGGTATAGCATTTTTCAAATAAGGCCTTATTTCATCACATGCATTCCTGATTCTGTCTATTAGCATATCTCTTGTGGTTACGGGAGTCTGGTACACTTTTTCTTTTAGAAATCCCGACACAAAGAAATCTAATGGATTTAGGTCAGGGGGTCGTGGAGGCCAGGCGACTGGTCCTCTACGGCCGATCCATCTTTCTGGATAATTTTCGTCCAGCCAGTTTCTAACTATTCTCGAATAATGAGCTGGACAACCATCAAGCTGGAACCAGGCCAATCTTCTTAAATCTTACATAACATCATCCCACATATTTGCATGTTCAGCCTTTAAAAATTCCAAGAAGGTCGCACCATTTAACCTTGCAGGCAAAAGGTAGGGTCCAAATAGTCGATTACGGTAGATACCAATCCACACGTTCACACTAAATTCATGCTGAAAATTTCTTTCCCGAACTGCATGCGGATTTTCATGCGACCAAATATGTTGTTCATGAAAATTTACCACTCCACGTCTAGTGAAGCATGACTCATCGGTCCATAAAACGTTACTTAAAAACTCCCTATTATTATTAGTTCTATCAAGAATCCACTGACAAAATGTGATTCTTCATTCTCCGTCCCCTGGCTGTAGTCCTTGCACAGGTTGCAAATGGTAAGGACGTCTATGGTCATTTCTAAGAATACGGTGAACATGGCTTGCTGAAATTCCCAAAGCACCAGAAACTCTCCTAACACTTGTGGTCGGATCTCTATCAAACTCACGCAGAATCATACGGGTAAATCTGCGCTGACGAACATTTATGTTTTGATCCCTTTGGAGATTTCCATAACCATTTTCAATTATTTGGCGATGCGCTCTTACAAATACTGAGCGAATTGGATGTCGTCTGTTTGGAAATCTTCGTGCGTATTCTCTGGCTGCTTCTGCTGCGTTTCCATTTACAAAGATATACACAAAATGAATATCCGCTAACTCTTGATTGGAGAATAAAAATAGCATTTTTATAAAACTTAAAAAAAAAAACAGGTAAAAGAAACTAAATTTCGTGCATTCACAATTGCAAAAAAACGTTTCAGGTTTCAACAAACAACAAAACTAACTGTCAACTAATTGACGTTTATCCTTATTCTGCTTTCAATTTCAAAAATATTTGCAGGCATAGCCTACTTCTAAAAATTATCGAGATTCTGACTTTTCAACGTTACTTTATCATAAATAATTAAAAATGCATCGAACCTTAAAAATCGAAATATCTCAAAAACGGCTAACTATAACAAAAACTTACAGGAGAGCTGTTTTATGCAGAAAAGTGCGAAGAATCAGTTTTTTTATTCAAAAAGCAAAAAATTGCACTAAGAAAAATTTTTTGGTCATTTTAATACACTACAGGTACAGTAGAGAGCGCCCTCTAGCGGCTACAGTAAAACTATGCCCATGGTTCGTTTTGTCGTACCAAAAAACCCTTGTGTGCCAATTTTCACGGTTATAGATCAAATATTGTTCGATATATTTAAAAAAACTATTTTAGAAAGTAAATTTATTTCGGAAGCCACACATTTTTCGACCCATGTTTATATAGACTTTATGCATTAATTTTAAAAGTTCTATCAAATCTTAAAGTTATGCAACAATAAACTGAAACACCCTGTATTTCGTAGACTAGGGCATGCTGCATTACATGGTATAATCACCATTAGTATGCTAGATAATCAACGCACCGACAAGAGACGCTTGCATTAGCACTGTGATGAATTCGCAAGATGGACGTAATGGATACACGCGGAATAGTACCATCCATCAAGTTGACGTGAATTTATTTATTAAATTATTTACACCTGCTTCTATACAACAGCGGGTTATAAATGGAAGTCGGTGCGTTGCGATGGGGTAATAATTTGATGTTATGAAGGCTCTGCTTATATGGGTTAATGTTGCTAACCATCGCACTCGGTAAATATCACGGCGGAGATTAATAGCAAAATAACTGATGATAGCAGTTCGCCCAAAATATTTTCGAGACATTGAAACTTTCCGTTACATTTAAATGGACGAACATTCTCTTGAACGGACACGGACACGAGAAAATGTTCACCCAACTGGACAAAAAAACAAAATAAAAAGAAACGCCTTGTCTTAATTTTTCTATTGAGAGTATCGCTATTGAATTTTTCGAGTGACGCGCCATCTTCGCTAGGAAAATGACTAAAAAAGAAAACTAGTATTCACTTCGAAGAAAAAAATGGTGCGCCAATGTTTTTTTGCCAAAAAAAATTATTTTTGAATTCCCCGTTCGATTTAAGACAAATAATCTTTCCTGAATTGTTTTCGTTCAATGCGCCATTTTTGAGTAAAAAAAATGAAAACCGTTCTATTGACTAACTTGCAAAATTATTATTAATTTAATTGGAAAATTAAACAAATTAGGGGTAATGAACAACAACAACTGACAACATAAACATAACATTAAAACCAACGGAATGATTACAAAAATTGTTAAAAATGGTCCCCTTCACTTAGTATGCATGATTCCGCCTTCCTTCTCATGGAATTGCGCACTCGTTGAAATATAATAATAATAATAATAATAATAATATACTAAGTGACATATAAATCCGAACACCCAGTTTAAATGTTTTTATTTTAATAAAAGTTGGTGAATGTATTTATCTTACTGTAAATAACAAGTGAAGAAACTTTCAGCCTTATCAGTTGGACATTCCGGTTTTTATACTGCTTTCTTTTTAATTCACTAGCGCTCCAAAAATGAATATTTCAGCCGCAGTAAAGAATCAACGTTGGCGGTTTTTGGTTTTTGACTTCCTTTACGATCGGTTACGATGCCTAGAGTACGCAGACTTGTACGATTTCGTCAACTTAGTGAGTTTGATAGGGGCCGCATCGTGGGACTTCGGGAAGCTGGACTTTCTTTTCGGGCAATTGCAGTTAGAGTGCAAA